GGCAGGTATTGAAATATCTGCTGTACAGAAGCACTTTTACAGTAAATTTTTTCTCCTCCATATTTCTGCAATGTGTCCAATCGGTGGGCAATAATTAGCATTCTTCTCCTGAATTGCGAACATTCTTGAGTCATTCTTCCAGATTGAAAGCAAAACAATATGGAGCTGCGGTAACGAGCGAGGAATAGATTTTAGAAGCATGACTTGCTTCGCCGTATGCGTCAGGCACCAGGAAAAACTGCTCATCTGGGAGTGATTAATGGTTCATGCATCCTGTTCTGGGCAACAGGCCTTTCCCCTCCCCGTATACCCGGATAAATTGGCTAAATTCTTGGCTAACCAGGGGTTCCTGAGCAAGTCTTCACGTTGTTTCGTATTGAAAGCTCGCCAATCTCGCAAGCATTAATTCTTGACATATCCCCAGCATATCAAGGAATCATGTTTGATACAGTTGTTTGCGGTTTTCATGTGAGTGAACCCTGTTAGAGCATTATATGAGTGTTCTGTACACAGGCAAGAAACTCCTCTTGGGGATGTTGGGAGATTGAGAGGTTTTCTTATTGTCCACTATTCCCATTTCTCAATCACTGTATTTACTTGAGTACCAGGCGCACCTTTTTTTTCAAATTTCAGAAGAAAAAAAGGGGTGGGCGTCATAAGTGGGTACAAATTTTCCAAGAAGTTTTGGAAGTTATGTGTGCATTACACTTAATTATAATAGAGAAATTTGGAAAAAATGTAACAAGAAAACTTTTTTACTGAAACAGTTGAAAATTGATCAGATTTTTGTTCAATTCATGTCTAAAGGCAATCTTTTGTTTTTATTTTCAAAATTTTGTGGTTTAAGATTCACAAAAAATAGAAGTGCGCATCTTACTTGGGGATACGATTTTAGCAAAATTCCCAACTGAAAAATCCCTGTGCGCACCTTACTCCAGGGCACATGGTACTTGAGTAAATAGGGTAATCACATCTTCATTTTTGGAGCTCTTACCCCCTTATAGCCGGAGTTGTCATGAATATTGCACAGACCATTTTCTAATGAGAGGACCACTCCAGGATGCGGTATTATTGTAAGTAATAAGGTAATTATTTTCCAATGTTATCTACAGCCAGAGTCAAAAGGGAGCATGCTGAAATACAAAACGGCTGCAAGTAAAAAGTTCAGTTAAAATGCAAGACAGGCAAGTTAGTTGCACTCAGAAGCCCTATCTTATCAATCGTCACCAAATCATTGTTTTGAAATATTGAAATCATATTTTTAAAACAATCATCTTGTTTTTGAAAACCGCAGCTGACAATGTCAAGTACAGCAGAATTGTATCACAACCAATCCTTCGATCAGAAATAGTCACTCACAACAAACTTATTCTTAGGCCCCTGTTATTTCAGTTTCTTTATAATAAATTTGTCATTATAACAAATATATTTTAGGGGTCAAAGTCTGTCACAACGATATCCTACTGTAGTATGCCTAATGGAAGCATTCAAATAACCCCATACAAGAAAGATGTTATGTGAAATATATCTTCAAAAATTAAACTATAGGCCAGAACTTCGTTTTCTCCATGCTCTGTTATGCGCTGAAAGTCAAAATTATTTGCTTTTTTATAAAAAAAATATATAAATCTTGGAAGCTGAATTTATCAAAACCTCTGACTTGACTGCCTCCAATTCCTGAAGAGTAAAAATGCCCAATCCCCCCTATGCTTGAGAAAATTTTATCACAATGGGTATTGCTGAAAGAAAAACCCTTACAGACATTTTAAAAAAACATTTTTGAATGTTTACACTGTATATGCATCATATTTGAGTTTAGTGAGAAATTTAGGACCAATTTTAACCAAAGAAAAGTATAGTATTGCAATGGAACCAAATATAAAATTAGTTGAATTCAGGTTGACTTCATGCAGAAATTCAACTTTGAGTGCTCTTATTTTTGAAACGTTACAATTTATGGTTACTAAAACTGGGGGGTACATCTCACTCAGGGATCAACATTTTAGACTGATAAACCCTGGAGCATTTCTTACTTGAAGGTGCATGATTCTCAAGTAAATACCGTATGTACAGTACAGTATTTCATGATCTGGTCATATTTTTACAATCCTTTTTTCAGGTGAATAAAATACAGTGGCCTCGCAACTGGTTCCAGCTACGCAGCTCCTTTCCCGATTTCATCCCTCTCTTTTTGAAACAGTGCTCAGAAAGGTCGGTTTTATTTCTGTTTTTTTTTTTTTTCGGGGTAGGGTTCTTTATTTTCAGGTGGGGCACTCACTGAGGGTGGATGCCTCGAAAGCGGGTTCCCGCTGAGCGACTTCTCCCGCCGGGAACAGTGGGCGATGAGCAACCTGTCAATGCGTTAGGGTGACGGTTGCCTTTGACCAGGGATCCGTGAGCCCTCTTACGTTAATATGCACAAAAACCTTCAACAAGTTTCAGTTCATGTCGCTTTCAAGTCGTCGTTTTTATCGTGATTTAGGGCGAATAAAGTGGCGCTGTTCACAGAAAAAGCTCGGGTTTCCGAGGAATATTTCGCAGGTGGGATTCGTTGCGTGAGCTGGTCTGATTTCCGCGTCCCTGAATCCAGAAGTTTCATGGGGTCGACTTTCTGAATGATGATTGTCATCAGGAAATGGGATACAGTGCAGTAAAATATTGTTGGAACGAAATCATTTCAACTTGGGGGGGGGGGGAGCTTTGTTACACTGACAAATTTGATCCAGTATTTCTTTGGGCACCACGCAGCCTCAAGTACTGTAATACATTGGAATTGATTTTTTTTCAAGGAAATTCTGGGTACTGTACAAATTTATTGCCTCATACAGTGTTCACCCCAGCTTTTGGTGATGAACGAATTCAATATTGAAATCAAAAATACACACAAAAGTAAAGTATGAATTAAATAAAATTTGAAGAAACGAAATTTTTCCGAATAGATGGCAATGAAATGTCATTTTTGAGCTATAAATTGTTCATACTTCTAGCTTTCTGATATTACTGTATATAGTAAAATATATATTAGAGCATTTCCTGCACCAAAATATAAAAAAAAATTCACGAGTTAGATGCGCACCCCATTTCTCGATTGCCCATTGCAGAAATCTGCAAAATACTGAGGGATAAAATTCGCCGGATAAACAATTTTCTATGATTGAAATTATTGTACAAGCACTTCAACTGCTCCATCCGATGGGACCTATGTTGGGCTCTTGTTAATGATGCATGCGGGTTTTTTAAGTACTGTATTAAGGGCTGAACTTGCTGTGGGTGGGATGGGATCAAGGTTGATCCTCTGAAGTAAAATCCCAAGGGACCAGAAAAACAATTTGACCTGGGTAATTTTTGAGTTAGGGAAAGTAACAATTTTGCCTAAAGAAAAGAGGAGTTAGCAGAAAGTTAAGTTGAACCCAGAATTCATTTGTAAAGGAGTTGACAGGATGCTGGACTTGGAGGCAAAGGTTCATCTTCCCAATTAGGCAGTAATTTATTCTTTAAAAGCATCAAGTTGATTTGTTAAAGCTTATCTTGATCCTAGGTCCTACAAAATACAGGAGGGCTTTCTCTCTACAATAATAATTGCTGATTTTTTTCATTTTTTTTGCTCCATAGGATTCTTTACCCATATACAGTAATAGTGATTCCCTAAAAATAATGCCTGTCTACAACATATGTTTTTCTGGTCCCTTGAATTTTGTTGCTGAGAGAGTCCACCTTCATTGCCCCAGAGCCCCCAGAAAATTCAAATTACTGTATAGAGGTTTGAGAGGGGGGGGAGAGAGAAATCTTTCAGTTGGGGAAGTTTCTCATACAGTAAATTTTTTCCAAGGGAATTGAGGCAAGGACTTGAACAAATTTGACAAAGGCATGTGTTTGACTTTGGGAACTTTGAGTTATCAAGGTTTATCTGATTCTTCAGTACAGTATAATGCAGTTGAACCTTTCTAAGTTGCATTTCAAGGGATCACAAAATAAATTCAACTTGGTGAGGTTTTGAATTGAGGAAGTTTTGAATAATTGAGGTTTGAGTAACAGAACCAAGCATTTTTCTTCTAGAAAACATAGAAGAATTGAAAAAAATTGTATATGATGATATCCTGGGCATTAAATTCATCTGAAATGAGTTGACAGGATGCTGAAATAATGAACTTGGAGGCAGGGACTAAATTTGCACAATCTAGTCTTTCCTTTCCTTTTAGAACACATGAAATTATGTGTTTTCATTGCTTCTTCCTTTCCTGTGTCAAGAGAAAATAGCCAAAAGACCTCCAAAAAATTGAGTCAAGGAGGTTTGAGAGGTTAATGCTTTGAGTTTGGGAGGTTTTTAATACATTTTTGCAACAGGGACTTGGAAAAAACCGACTTGGGGAGGTTTGAGTTATTCAGGTTTAACTGTATTCCTACTTATGATTGCTGTTGGCCAGCCAACCCAGGGATTAGGCATCAAACAACTCTGAAATTGTAAACGATGAGTTTAGCCACTCTGGGGTTCTTGAAGACCAGCAGAGATGGAAAGCCCAGCAGTCTATGCCGAGACAGGTTACACGCATGTTACAACGCAACAGTACTTCGGTCGTATTTCTCCCCCCGAAGTACTGCGCAGTATCCCCTCGACTACGAGACGAGGAATTTTGTTGTTTACACCATTTGGTTTGGCACAGGAGTCTTTTCGCTGCGGAAAGGCTGTCTCATCACTGGAGGGGGTCCGTCCGTGTTTATTGGGAAACGCGAAGAAGAAGACTCTTCTCCGAGAAATAATTAGCTCAGTTACGGACTGCGGCGGGTTCCCTTCTCTTTCTTTTGCTTTATTATTGTTTTGTTTTGTTTTGTTTTTTCATTCGCTCGCCAGGGAATGAGAAAGCGAACCCACGTTACGTCGAGGGGCCCGGGAACCTTGGAACACAGCTAGCCGGGGGAGCCGCAGCAGTCAGGCGCTGGGTGTTTTCTGCTGACCCACGATGCTATAAAGCAAGTAGTGATGCGAGAGGGTGAGAATTGAATCACTCTATAGACCCGGGTTTTTCGGGCCCGGGCAGCGTGGCCCCGAGGGCAATCATCATTTGCTCTCCCCGGGCGTGATAAACGGCGCCCAATGAGAAATGCGCAGGAACGGCGATTAAACCCGCGGCTCCCATTGGACCCGAGTCACGACCGCCTGCATTCTTTAATGAAGTACACCAGTGTACTGCAAAAAACCCCCTCGGGAAATGAAGACGCATGTGACGCATAATTGATGATAATTGCGGGCCCGCTTGAACCGTGAAACACTATCCTGTCTGCTTTTCACGCTTCCCAATTTTCCCCCCCTACTCAATCTTCCCCCAACTTGTCCCCCCCCCCACAACCACTTGGGCCACATGTGCTCTACTTCACTCGCACAACTCCATCTTCAACCGGGCCCCTGTCTCTTGCCATCAGCCACTGACTGAATGACTGACTGTTTTCCCATCCCTGATGCTCGTCTCTGCTGATGCCCGACCCGACGCAGCCCAGCCTTATACTCCACTGTACTCTACTTTTTGGTACTGCACTGCTGTGTGCACGGTAGTGAACCAGGCGGCTGCGAACCTATCTATACAATACCAAGAAAATTTGAGGGACTAATACACGTCGACTCACTCTCTCTATACCAAGAAATTCAAGGGACCAGGCAAAAGTGAGCTGAAGCGAGAATTTCATGGTAAAGAACCCCTTTAACATGGAGAGAGATTCCTAAGGAACCACAAGAAAAAAAAGAAAATTATTTTATAGTGAAAATTGCAGTGGACTAGATCATTGTACCTTTTTAGGCCCATGGACCAGCAAATTTTCATGAAATGTTACATAGACCAGAAAATGTAAAACAAAATTCCTGCACACCTCCAAAATGCCATAAAAAATGTTTGGACTCCAAAAACGTTTCATTCGAAAGACCTAATGGCAGGTACACTATTTAAAATGTTTCTGCTTTCTGCAAGAATCAAGTTAAGAAGCAATGAAGCAGATATGGTTGAATGTCTTTAAAAATTTGAAATCTGGGCTTGCAGAAAGTTTTCTTGAAATGAAATACTAAAATAATTTACTTCAGCAGTTGAAAATTTGCCCAAAGTGTTCTTAGGAAAAAAAGGCAAAATTTATTTTTATCAGATCAATTAAAATGCCAATGTCTTTCCAAATGCTCAGATAAAGATAACAGACTTCGTTGCTACTTTTTAAAAATTTATTAGCCCAAAGAAAATTTTGAATGGACCAGAAACAACTTCTGATGACCTATGCCAGTCTGTGGACCATGGGTTGGGGAACACTGGACTACATTGCTGCAGGGAGAGAGAGTCCAACTGACTTGTATACAGTATTGTACACTGGATGTGAAAGGAACAGAGAACCACTTGAACCACCCAGAGCGCAGGAGAAGGAGGAATGCAAAATCATGTCCCTTACATTGTGCAGTTGAACCTCTACAAGTCAAATTTCAAGGAACCATTAAAAAAATTTGACTTAGGGAGGTTTCTACTTATGAAAACCAGCATTTGGGGAGGGGGGGGGGCTAAAATAATGGCAGGAAATTGTAATTGGTGATATTCTGGGCCATGGAAATTACTTCTTAAATGAATTTACAATGGGCTGAAATTGAAGGCAGGGATCCAGATGCCAAAATAGTTTTTCACTTCCTTTCAAAACACATAGGAAATTTACTTGTTCTATAACTGTTCTCTTTTGTATAATCAGAAAATAATAGCTAAAATGCTGCAGAAAATGCAACTTACTGAAGTTTGAGAGAAAATGAATTTGAGTCAGGGAAGTTCTTAATACTGAAAATTGTTGTCCAGGGATTTCAGACAGGGACTTGAAAAAATTTGACTTAGGGGGGTTTGAATTATTGAGGCTCAACTGTACATTATATACACAACACAAATCATCCAGATTCATTTCATGGACAAACTATCGAATTGTGTATGTTTGCACAGCTTAGATCACGTGACAACTGCATAGAAACCTTATTGGCCAAATAAAATCAGTACAATAAAAAGTTGGGACTTCATTTTCTCAATAGTGAATGTGTGAGTGATGAGCTAGAAACATCTTTCTGTGGTGCTTTTTGGGCAAAATGCATCTCCTCATAATAAAAGCCTTTCAACAACTCAATTTCTTGTTCTGGTGGAATGGCAAGGGGAGAGTTTATCTTTGCAGAAAGAAAATTAATCTTAAAAGTACTCAGTAAGAACAAATAAGGATCAAATGTCGTTTTGACCAGCTTCATTCGATTTTTGCATTCACTCAAATGTTAAATGCACTTTCTTCATTCTCAGAATTGCTAGCATAATATTGTCACATAAAACGTACCTAGTTATTTTTTTCCAACTTGGAATGTGATCAGACTTTCATTGTATGCGTCGCGGCTTCCCATAAAATGGTGGAGTATACTAAAAATATTAATGCGTTCATTTGATAGTCCCGTATCAGTGGGTTTTGAGACAATTAACAGCACAATTTCGAGCGAAATTCCTCCGATAATTAACCTTCGAAAGTCAAAAGCATAAAGTACAATCAAAAGCTGTGAAGCAAGAAAACGTAATAATTTTTCCGGTAAAGAAACATGCCACGAACATTGGAATCGTCAAGTCGTAAAAAAAGTACTGTGTTGTTTTTTATGGAGAGAAGGATTCTTTATACAGTACTAGATTCAAGTTTGTTCCTTGAGGCACATCTTTAGCGAAATTCGCATCTGTTGTACAAAGCATGCATTTCATCATTGCTGGAATAAAGAGTTTAAATGCACAGGCTGATATCACCAGAAGAATAGGGTTTTCTTTTACCAGATGTAATGGCATATAAATTCAACCTCATCTCGGTTTGTCAAATGAAGCTGCCAATTATTTAAATTTCAGCAGATGGGCAATTGACAATTTTATTCTGCAAGCTACTCTTCCACATCTTATAGGACTAAGCATAAAATGTTTGCATTATTAGATTCCTCCTCAAAGATTATTTCTGAATTCTTCAATCAATGGAAATTTGTCTGGGAACAGGTTAAATGCCTTGTGCTGTTATTGAGGACAAATGTCTTCAATATAATTTGATGTTACTGTTATTGAGATTTGAATAAAAACACGTTATTCAGTCTGGGACAGGACTGGGATTCCATTTAGGAATTCCTACGTTAAATTGATAAACTATATTTCACACAAGTGTAAAATGAATGAACAACTCAACAAGCTTGACTTGCAGGAATAAGCTTGAGGATAACTTGAATAACACAGTTGAACTGAACTGATCTGATTATACCAAGAGAAATGCTGCTTATATATAACAAATAATAAGTAACCTTCACAAGGTTTTACTTAATAATCAAAGCAAGAAAGCTAACATGGAGGATGCTGTTGTGCCAGGATGTTTCTGGCACTGTGATTTTGAAGAGGGGGGAATTACTTTTTTACTTCTGAGAATTGAGTATACTAAAGCATATTACTTTACATGGCATGCATGCCCAACAGCTGTAATTTGTGCTCATGTAATTGACTTCTGCTGTAATTTTCTAATTTTTTGGAAAGAAAAAAAAGAGATGGCAACTCATTAGCCATGCTTGTGTATGCACAGTACTGTTATGTACTTCCTTTCAATGCTTATATCGTGGATTATTTTTGATTGGCTGGAAACTGTGTCAAATGGACTCAAGGTGGAGGTGGGGAGATTTTTATGAACCTTGTGAATGCTGACGAGTGGCAAATAAAGCTTGTACATCCATATAAATCCATCAACAAATTTGCACGCGACTGTCATTTCCGAAGCAAGCGCAATTGTCAAAGTTTGAAAATATCGAGAGTGAAGGAAATTACTCTTATTTGTCCAGGAATAAACTTCATGCCTCACTCCAGAATCCAAAGAGTTCGTAGCCCATGAATTTTATGAGGTGACCGCTGCAATGCATCGTGTGGCCTATATACTCTCATAAATAAGGCAATTTTGTACACAACTGGTTGGCATAAAATGAGGACCACATCATGGATCCCGTCTGCAGTTTGAGCCAGCGTAATTGAATTTTAGATCATGTCGAACCCTTAACCAACTGTCCAGGGGTCGGAAGCTCCTCGCTGTGAGTTTTATGGATATCTCGGACCAGGCCAGGCGAAAGACACGAGCAGAGAAGACAAATCATTCCACCGACTATAAAATGAAATACGGTCTATGATCGGAAGACATTCAACACACTGTTGCCTGCGACATATACTTCGCACACATGCAGGATAACTTTTTTATTCAGTATGGTTGCACAGCTCAGATCATGTGACAACTGCGCAGAATGACCAACCAAAATGAGTGCAATGCAAAATTGGGACTTTATTTTTGCTACCGTGCATGTTGGAGTGAGAATTGGGGAATGATTTACGTATCGGTGATGTTTCAAACCTATGAACTGTATTTTTACAGTATAAGGCCTCAGAATATGGAGACCTTGACATGCAGGTTGGGACATTGGGACATATTGAAAAATATGTCCCAACATCTAGACCAGTGTTCCCCAACCGTTTTGGGCCTGCAGACCAGAAAATTTCCAAAAAAAAAAAAAATTGCTGACTGGCAAATTCCAAAAAAGTCCTGCAGATTGGCAAAGTTTCATAAAATTGTTGCTGGCTCACCAAAGTTTTGCTTGAATCTTATTAGGCAGGTATTTACAAGGAAAAGACAGTTAAGAATGTCATCAAACAGTTAGAGAGGTGGGCTTGGAGAAAGATTCCTGTGAACAAAAAATTAAAATAATTTATTTCAGCAGGGGAAAATTTGTCTGAAGTGTCATTAGGAAAAAAGCCAACGTTTGTATTCATTGGAGAATTCAACTGCAATTGTTCTCCCGACATTTTGGGCAAGGAAAACAGACTTCATCCCAACTTTTGATAAATTTGTTATGCTGCAAATTTCCTGTTGACTGGCAAAAAACGTCTGCAGACCTTCTGCATGGGTATTGGGGAACACTGATCTAGACAATGTCTCAAGAGATGGACGCAGCCAAAATTGCCAGGAAGACCAATGAACACAGTTTTATTCTTCAAAATTTTGAAATCCCTTGAAAAATTGAGGCACATGTAGAGCCAAGAACATGCAGCAAAAGCAAATCCTTTTATAAATTCAACTTGATTTATTGAAAGAAAACAGACTAACTTTTGCTTCTCTTCTCAGAATTTCTTTTGGTCACTGTGTGCTGTACTGTATATGCGTGATTATTTCATGCCTCTTGCATTAATTTTCATACCAAACTTGAGATGCATCCTCCTTCTTCGCAATTGTTCTCAGCATTTTAACGATAAAAAGCTGTTTTTCATTTATTGGGGGAACCTCTTCCGATTTTTGGCATACATGAAAGGGGATTAAAAGTGCTTCCATTGAAGTCTATGGGAAAATGAGATCCAGCATTTGGAATTTCCAACATATGGTCACACAGCCTTAGACATACTCATGTCCACATTGTGAGGCTCTTCTACACAAATACTGGGCTACCTTTCACGCAGTTTCCTTTAAAAAATGCATTGAAACTATGCAATGAATTTCCCAGGCATCAGAATGTGCTTTGAAAAGGAAAATGTGCATGCATAACTCATACGATTATACAAGAAAAAAAGGTCTTTATGAGTTTTCCCAGATTCACATTACAAAAAATCGCGATGCCTGTTTCCCATTGGGTGCCATTTACCATATGTACTTGAGTTCCAGGTGCACAGTTTTTCTCAAAATTTTGTGGAAAAGCTGGTGCGTATCATAGGCCAAGATCAAAATGTAAAAAAAGGTTAGAAGTTTAGGTGCACATCACACCTGAATAAATATAATAGAACATCTTCCACTGGGACCTTTTATGATACAAAAAATTGGAAAATCGACCAAATTCATGTCAAATTCATTTCAAGATTGAAATTCTGGTGTAGATTTTTTTAAAAATAAATAACGTATTTACTCAAGTACCACGTGCCCTCAAGTAAGGCGCGCACAGGGGTTTTTCAATTGGAAATTTGACTGAAATCTTATCCCCAAGTAAGACACGCACCCCAATTTTTAGTGAATCTAAAACCACAAAATTTTGAAAATAGAAACAAAAAATTTGACTTTAGACATGAATTGAACAAAAAACTGACCAATTTTCAACTATTTCAGGACAAAAAAGTTTTCTTGTTACATTTTTTACAATTTTCTCCATTATAATCAAGTATAATGCACACATAACTTCCTAAACCTTCTTGAAAAATGTGTACCCATTTATGACTTGCACACCTTTCTTTCTTCTGAAATTTGAGAAAAAAGGTGCGCATGGTACTCAAGTAAATACAGTACTAAAGAATTTTCTGTCAATGAAACTGACGAGAACATCTTGCGCAGAAGTAGGATTTCATCAACATTTTTCAGGTGCTGAAACATTGGGATGCCTGTCTCAGTCAAGGGTTCATGGCACTGCACAGTAATTCCGTACGCAGGAATGCTAATTCTCTCAATCAGGCATCAACAAATTGGAAAATAAATTTCGGATCCACTAAAAGAAAGCAGCAACAAGGAAACAATGCTCAAGCACACAAATACGGTACACCAAAAGCAGAACAACTATTTGTACAGTCAAACCCCATTAAGACCCCCCCCCCCCAAAAAAAATTTTCCACCCTTGGCAACCACCAACATTTTGAATGAAACAACTCTCCTCAATACTAAATGCCATAGAAAACCTCAATAAGACGCAAACCTCCAGCATTAGTTCTGAAACAAAAGTTATGTTTTGTATTAGTTTTTTCTTTGTTACAACGCCAGCATTGGGGTAAAATTATATTTCCTGTCCAGGATCTTGTATTGGTAAGAAGAAAACAAAATGACAATCTTCATTTTTCAAAAACTTTGAACAATATATAGACCTAATTTTAAAATTTGAATAAATTGATACAGAAACATTAATTTTCTGAAGGAGTAATGCATAAATCACAGCAATACTCTTTGAAAAATTACTGAAGTTTATGGAAAACTTGCATTTCTATTACTTTTGCAGGAAAATCAAGTATTTTTGATTGAATGATTTAAAAGGAAATATTCAATAAACCGCCAACCCCTTTAAACTGCCAGAATTGCTCTGGACAAATGGTGGCATCTTATCGGGGTTTGATTGTACATCCATACAACTTATTGGAGAGCTACCAGGAGCCAGGGTTTGTGTGGACGACGGGTTATGCCAATTACCAGCGCATCGTCAGCCACCACCGAAAGCAAGACTCGAGTGAAACATGAACACAGTACGAAGGTACCAACCTGGAGGCAGATCAAACTCTGGACTAGCACGCTGCGGGCCTGGCTGGGGACCCATGGGACCATCGAACTGACCCCCGTCCATGGGCATCGGCATGTTCTGTTGGCCCGGGAACGGGGCTGGGCCAAACGGCCCTGGCCCTGGGCCCATCTCCGGGCCACCTGGTCCCCCGGGTCCGCCCGGGAAGAAGTCGTAGAACCCGGAGTGTCCTGCTGGGGGTCCATAGCCAAAGTCTGGTGGTGGTCCATCTGTGTGTACACATTCGGAAAAGAGAGAGAGAAAGTGCGGGTGAGCTCGGAATACCCTGCTGCCATCTCATTTGTCTCACATCCTTCATTCAAGACGAACAAGTGATTCGAAAGCACGGCCCAGACGCGGGGAAGAAGAAGAAGAAGAAGAAGAAGAAGAAAAAAGCCTTTTTTCTTGCCCCGGGCTCGGACCAGCATCAGTCGAGACAATAAAAACCCGAGTCAAGACGGCGAGAAAGGGGTGAGGTGAGTCGAAGCCAGAGGCAATCAACTCCCGGGCCTTCCCTGAGGCAATCATCTCTCCGATAGGGGAGCAATCTCTTACTCCTTTCCTCCTCCGGGCCGTAAAAAAACGTATCCCCTTCAACGCACGAAAAATGCTGAATCTTTTAATCACTCTCGCCGAGTACTCGACTGGCTTTTCTTCAAACATTCCAGTCACACATCCTTGCGGCGGAATTACCGGCAATTTCGCCAGCTCCCGAAGGTACTGCACTCCACTTCCCGGCGAAAACGACGCTGTTACGCGCATTCCTGCAGCGTATGCAGGGACGCCGAAACGGCGCCCGCGAGTGACGCGACGGACAAGGGAGCATGGTTCTTGCGGCGGCACTGCCGCCACAATTTATCGCGGGAATCGCTCGCCCGAATCCCCGAGCGCCAATGTGGCGACGAATCTCGCAGAACCCGTTGGTTGCCCTGGCCTCGCATTCCGGTCCACAAAAAAATATAAAAAATAAACTAAGTATATATACAGTACAGTATAATAATACATTGCAGTACTGCACTGCACTGCACTGTGCTGTACAGTGCAGTGAGGCACAGTACTTCACGTATTGTACTTGGTGTTTTCCCGCGAAACATATGCTTCCATTTTGGAGACACGCCATCATATTTCCAAGTTAGTGAGCGATCTCATCATGAATGATTCTGTACAGTGGACCCCGAATTACAAAACTAATCAATTTCAGTTATATTGCGCAGAAAAATGTCGTTATGTGGATCACGCCCTTCCTCATCATTACATGGTGAAAATTTTAAATCTTCTCAACGCCGTGACTTTGATTATCTAAAGTTGAGTTTTCAAAATTACAAAAAGGTGCACACACGCATTACATTTTAATTTTACTTTAATTTATTCGTTCGAGTGTAGAGGCAGGTGATTTCTCTTCTGTCTCTTCTTATTTTTTATTTTTTGCAGAAATCCAATACAGACTTGATGTTCACATGTGCAATAAACAGATGTCACCAATTCAAGGCATTTTCTGGCATTTCATTTGGTTCATGGGTTGTCCAAGCTCATAAAAACTTATTGGGAAAACATGAGTGACAAGAGATTTTGACTCAGGGAAAGCTTGAAATTTTTATTCCAAATGTACAGTACAGTACTTCATAACAGTTCATTGAATGAATGGGTGTATGCATACATGTCAGATGTCCAGTTGTATTTCATGGATTGCATTTTCTTTTATTTTTGTTATCAATTTGTGCTCTGTTTCCTGCTCTGAAGTGATTAAATGTCATTGAGTGGATTTGGGTTGGGTGGGAAGGGGGTTTGGTTGTGGAAATCTTGATTGAACCTTGCTAACGCTGAAAAGCGGGAATTAAAGTGTTCTGTTCATTCATTTATTCAAATTCAATCACTTCCAGGTCAAAGTGCGGTTTAAAAAAAAATTTGGACTTTGTCTTGCCTCACGTCCCCATGAAAACTACAAAAATATTCTCACAACTGAAGAAAAAAGCGTGTCAGTTTGAGAATGCCCCTTTCGTCCACTTGCCTCTTTTCCTTCCGAGACCCACTAGTACCCAGGAAGCATCCATTGTCGGCGACCTTTCGCGCACTCTCGGGGTGCGATCGAATTTGGGGCAGCGCGTTTGCATGATGTTGATAATTGTCGAGTTAATTGGGCCTAATGACAACCGAGTGAGTCAGTACAGTGACTCGGTTAGCAAAAGGGGGGAGAGAACATTCATTCCCATGCATCACAGCCAGACCATTACGTCCCAGATCCCCGGAGAATTTGTTGACTAAGGATGGAGGCGGCTGTAGCAAACGACAGGTTTGTCAGTGCATTTACTGAATATTAAAACGAAGTAGTGAAGTAGGAGTAGGCGGACTCTAATGAAGCTAGCCCGTGATAAAAAAAAAACAAACAAGGCGATGGAATTCCGCTGAAAGAATGCTTTCTTTGTTTTATAATTTTTTTGGGGGATTCTCGGACAACACTTGAATACCAATCCAACACGGAATTTCGGATTAAACCCCCACTTTTTTTTCGAAGGGCCTTTAATCAACTCCCGCTTCGTTTTTCTGTCCAAGGATCAGCAAATACTTTTCCGGCCATTTTCTCCTAAAAAAAAAATAGAACTTCGTGATTAATAAACCAGATACTGCACTTTAAATTTTTTTAAAATGTTTTGAAATACATTTCATAGTTCGCAAAATTACGATCTGAATATGTTTTGAATAGAAAACAGGGAATCGGATACAATTCATTGACAAAATCCTAATATTGTACAATGTTGGGATTTTTGGAAACCCGCGATTCCTCACATTGCATCTCGACGCATTCCCTTAGAAAATTGGCAAAATATTCGTTAGTTTCTCCGGAAAACGTGATCGCGCTTCAGTTTCCTTTCACCGCAAAACTTCCATGATTTAAGATCAATTCAAGCATCCATTTCTGCAGAATTTCTGCGTATCGGAAACGAAACGGAAGCCACGACCGGAAGTCCTGAATGGTACTGAGGCAAGCCCCAGAGAACTTCCAGGTCAACGAGCTGATTTTTGGCAGACCCGATCAAACTGACAATAGGTTGTTGCACGTTCCGCCGCCCAGTTTTTTTCATTCAGCATTCGGTGGAATTGAAACAGAGAATAACATACGCAGGAAACTTCCCCACCAAAAAAAAAAAAAACCAGAATACGTTCGATTTGGCAGCTGATATTTTCCTTCCAAGACACGATTTCTGGCTTCATTTTGTGGTGGGGTACATGATTCACTTTTCACGAAAGAGAGAGATATAACAAAGAAAATTATTGCAGCTCACTCAGCACTGTAGTGCACCAAAACATGAAATTCGATTCGCAGAAAATTATTCGTCTTGAGCAATTATAACAGATTACCTGATCCATTGTGTATTAAATTGAAAGAACTTTTACCTTCTTAAAGATGGAAAATATTTAATAATAATTCTACTACCCTGAAAATTGAAATCATCATCTTTCGCGATTCGAAAACAGTCCCTTCCCCGTGAATTTCGTATGGAGAAATCAGCTGCGCGTTTAATGTTTGTTGAAAATTTGCTAAACGGGTCAGAATATTCTTGAATACGAAAGCAGATAAAAATAACCAATAGATCCGGGTGAGAAAACAGAAAGAAAATAAAATCTTCCACGACATATTCGGGTTGGAGAGGATCAGACTGATCCGTGTGGGAAAAACGACTGGACATTGATGTAATCACGGGCGTGACTCGTCATTTTCTCTGTGGCCCCCTCGAGGCCCTCTTGAAAAAACAAGGC